TGTGTAACACGTGCGGGTTGAGAATTGGACACGCGTGCGGAGTGGACGCACTCGCCTTCGGCTCGTGCGTCACTCCGCACTTATGTCCAATTCTCAACTTCCCGCACTTGTTACACAAATAACTATTCTTCCACCGGTGTGAGTCGCCGGCCATACTTTTCTATACCTGTGCGCAGTCCATACTATATGTCGATGATGCGTCCCCACGAAAAAAGCCGGGATGGCCTCTCTCAGGTCTCAGGTTTCTTTCTGGTTATGCTAGTACAGTGCTGACAGTTTGCTATTTGGGTACATGGAAAATGAAGAAAAGAGGGAGTTAATTCGTAAAACTCAATCCCTCTTCTTTCTTTTTTATAAGTCCAGTATTTTCTATGATTTGCATTATTGCATCGCGAATTTTGTCTTAATTTTAGTGATTCTATCGAAGTGATTAGCCAGGATACAATGGCGGATAACGATGAGATGGGTTATGAAGATGAGGAACAGACTGAGCAGGTAGTCGACGGAAGCGGAGATGGGTTTAAAGACTTCCTTCTCAAGCCAGAGATTCTTCGTGCCATTGTCGACTGTGGCTTTGAACATCCAATCGGAGGTGAATTACTGTCTCATTATAAAAATTTCTATTTTTTATCTTTGCTTATTTAGACGTACAGGTGATGAATATCTTTAATGCTGGATAGGGACAACTGAAATTTTCTTGATCGAAATAAGCATTTCTGATGTATCTGTCTCGTTCTATTTTCAACTCTATGTGATACTTTTTGTATAATACATTAACGATATATAAATACTAGATTTTTGCCGCTTTGCGCGGGCTCAAAATCTACTCCTCTCTTCCCAAATTCACCCATTAATTAGGAACACTAAATTTGATATTCTTTCTCCTCAAACTCTAACCTACATCTTCGAATTCTTTTTTAATAAATAATAGATAATATTATAAATGCAGATTAGCATATTGTCAAATATTTAAAAAATGTAATCCCCTATATTGAAGTCTTTAAATTTTATTTTTGCTTGCGTTTCGCGCGTTTTCACTCTCCGCCGCCTCGCCATTATTGACTCTCTTTCATTTTCTTTCATTTTATTTCCATTCTGTTCCTCCTTTTTTCTATTTTGTTTAAAAATTCTATCCGGTTTAGTTATACATTTGCTGCCTTTCTCTGTTCTAATATCAATTCATTTATTCTTTTTTTTCGCTCGCGTTTCGCACGTTTTCACTCTTTGAAAAATTATCCATTAATGAAAAATTAAATTTATCTTTGAAAAATTAAAAAAATTTTGGCAATGGTTTCAAAAAAATCAGTCCATTAATACTTATTATTGACATAGAAAATTGAAAAAATAACATTGGTTTTAAGAAAATACGTTCATTACTAAAAAATTAAACTCATCGTAGCCATCTCCGAAAAATTAGAAAAATTTTGGAACTGATTTAAAAAATCAGTTATGATTTTTTATATGGTTATCAATAAATAATTATAAAAAGGATATTTGTAAAATCCTATGTATCTATTAATCATAGCAATATAAATTTTAAATAAAATTATTATTTACCTTTAAATCAAAAAGAATGGAAGAATAGGAACAGGGAACAGGATAAAACAGAAAAAATCTTTAAACCGGGAACAGGATAAAACAGGTTTTAACGTCAGTTTTCTTTTGTGTAAGATTAAATATCTGTCAAAGGAAAAATATATAATTAAACTATATATATCTTTTTTTATTTATTATAAAAATGTAACACATTAAAAATTTATAAATAAATTTGTATGGATAAGCTTTAAAATCTTGAAAACGGCTCCAACACCGAAAGGCAAAGAAACGAAAAGACAGAAAGTTAATAAGATAATGAAATAAAAAGAAAATAAAACAAAGAAATGAAGAGATGGAAAGACATAGATTTTTTGACATATCAATTTGATATTTAAAATACATACCTTTTTTCTTTCTCTCTCTCTTCCTCTCTCTTCCCCTTCCTCTTTCTCTTTCTTTCTCTCTCTCTCTTTCTCTCTCTCTCTCTCTCTCTCTCTCTCTCTCTTATAATATGCGAATATCCTTTTTCTTCTCTCTCCTCTTTCTGTCTTTTCCTTTTTGTCTATGATCGATTGCATTAAAAAACTGTATCCTTTCTGAGTATGCTAACCACGGTTGTATATACACCGTGATGCTAACTCTTGACACACAAAATACAATCGCTCGCGACAATCACGAATTGAAGTGACTAGTTTATCAATTGACATATAATATGTGAAAGCAGCAACTTATCCTATCTATATAACATATTTCATTTAAAATTGATCGACCTATGGACGATATCATTTGTTAAATTTATATTTATTTTTATGAAAAAGATTCATTTATTATTAATTTTATTACATTTATTTATTATTAATTATATTATTTTATATTTATAATTAATAGTAATTTTATTTAAAACTGATCGACCTATGAACGATATCATTTGTTAAATTAATATTTATTTTTATGCAAAAGATTTATTTATTATTAATTTTATTACATTTGTTTACTAATAATTATATTATTTTATATTTATAATTATTTAGATATATATTTATTGAAAAAATATAAATATTATTGAAAGTAATTTTTTTTACACCCACGAAATATACGTTTTGCAAGATTAAATAAAACTCAATCAATTAATTAATATTTATAATTACAATTTTTGTAATTGGAAAAATTTTTGATACCGGTTTCCCTAAAGATCGGTAACGAAAAATTATACACTTTATGGCAATCTTCGGGAAATTCTACCCCTACTTCATATACTTTTAGTAAAAATTCGGTTTACTAACGAATGAGTAGTTCGCAGTCAGACAAACATACATACATACAGACAGACGACGGTACTTATATATATAGATTTGCTGCTTACAGTACAACATGAATCTATCCCTGAAGCGGTTCGTGGCATGGATATGCTGTGTCAAGCGCAATCGGGTATGGGAAAAACAACCGTATTTGTATTAGCTACTCTTCAACAGCTGGAATTAACGGAGAATCAAGTCTATGTCTTAGTAATGTGTCATACTCGAGAATTGGCTTTCCAAATCAGTAAAGAATATGAGAGGTTTAGCAAGTACATGCCACATGTAAAGGTAAGTTTCGCAAAGTCTTCATTCTGTGCACGCTACGTACAAACGAATAGAATAATAAATATTGAGATTTTTTGCACAAGTTTTTTTTTTTTACAAAATTTTATATTAATATGCACATATATTCTTTAATTATAAAATTATTTTACATATACTTTCTATGTTAAACAACTTTCAATGAACTTGTCACAGCAGTATATTTTTACCTTTTAATGGATTCGATGTTTTCTATACTATATTCTTGCGTTCGCGCTGAAACGGCCCTTAACTCCGAGCTGAAGCAAGCGGTCATTCCGCAGAAGTCGCATCATAAAAAAGGTTTATATCTTTTTAGTCTAAGACAAAATTTCTTTTATTACAGGTTGGCGTATTTTTCGGTGGTTTACCTATTACGAAAGACGAAGAGGTCTTGAAAACTGTATGTCCTCATATCGTTGTCGGCACTCCCGGTCGTATCCTCGCCCTTGTACGGAGCAAGAAACTAAATCTGAAACACCTGAAACACTTTATACTCGACGAATGCGACAAAATGCTTGAATTATTAGGTTTGTCATAAAAAAATCACCAATTTCAAAAAAGAATATTTTATCGAGAAGAATCTACATGATGTATGAAACAATCTTAATTCATCATGATGACTACATTTTCCATTATCCACTATTAACTGAGCGATTCTTCAAAATTTACTCTATATTTAACATTTCATTTTGATTGATAAATAATTAGTCATGTCGCATTGCTGTTACAGATATGCGCCGGAACGTACAGGAAATATACAGAAGCACACCGCACAGCAAGCAAGTCATGATGTTCAGTGCCACTCTGTCCAAGGAGATACGTCTTGTCTGCAAAGAGTTCATGCAACATGTAATTACACAATCTTCCTCTTCACTTCGATCTACTGCAATTGCTCCTACTTCATTGGCATATTCGTGCCCAGGGCAAAGCTCAGGCCACGCTATAAATATCAATGTCGGTGCATCCGCGGGTTAGGCAACTTAGACGGCGCTTTGAAGAAACGAGTACCGAGTTTAAAAAAAATGAATCTTATTTGATAAACGGCGCAGTCATATGCTTGACACTCATATCCAACATAATATCGCGCTGCTCCTTCCGATTCCAATTCCGAGTCTAAACATTCTGGATGTGTCACATTATCTGCATATGCATATGAAGGGGAAGAATTTTTGTCTAAAATCGAGTCCAGTCGTTCAACACGGTCCGAGATAGAGTACCAGTCGATAATAAAGTCCTTTAATTTGCTAGTTACTATGCACATCCAAGTGACAACACTGTATAAAGATATCGATATGTCAGGAAATATAAGGGGGGGAGGGGGAGAGAGAGAGAGAGAAAAAGAGAGAGAGAGAGAGGGATAGGGATATGAAATATTTCTACGTTCTTATGGGTAATCAGAGCATTAGAATTAGAATCTATATGATTTGCCTGCTATTGAAAAGAAGATGCAAAACAATACTCAGGAGAATGATTAGGATTAGTTAGGGAAAAAAATGTAAAATGCAAGCGTAGCATAGTTCTATATCGTGTTCGCGTTCATTCAATCGCAAATTAAAAGTATAGTGCATTAGTCTTCTTGGATGCTAGTGCCGTGCACACAACTCGAGCGATTTCGTGTCGTAGAAAATCGTTAAAATCACGCGAAAGCTAAAACGCGAATCTTCGTGTATCATGAATCGCGCTTTTTATTTCGCACGAGTGATGGAAGTCGGGGTCGCGGCTTAGCGGATTACCGGAGGTGAAAAAGTCGAGCGTTTATACCAACCAGAGTAATACGAGTCGATTCTTAATGTGCCAGAAATTTTGGAAAAGAGATTTTAGCATCGAGTGGCCAGCGGATGTGACCGAACGTTCTCTGTCATGAGTGTCGCCTTCTTAAGTTCAGTTGGGGCGAACTGCTGAGTTTTCGTTGTTGTCACTACCCAGAGATGGAGGTCGCCGGACTGTATGTAATCTGTATGACTATAATCACGCTCGACGATTATACTCCGCAACTGAAATGCGGGAGTCTCTCTTGCTGGGACTTTCAACATTTATGAACGTATACGGTAACTTAACGAATCTAACGAATCCATCTCCGAAGGAAGAAAAAATACTTGGAAGTTTATATTTAAAAGAAAAGAGATGGTTTATTGGTTTTGTCTTTTTTTGTGTTGCTTAAAATGTTTATAAAACGCCAACTTTTTATTCTTGCAAATGAGTTGCATATCAAGGAATAGTATCATTTTAGTTTTTTTTTACTGGTTTTGAACGTTCCTTCATACATTCAATTACATTCGATTTTTAGACGGCGAAAAACGACATCATGACTACGGATACCCGTAAAAGCCTGCAGCCTGAGAATTACATGTTAGGCACTATAACTTGTTTCATGGATTTGTTTGTTTTATGAGATAACATTTTTTGTGCAGCCCATGGAGGACATGGAAGAGGTCTCTGTTGATGACGTAAAGCTCACTTTCAAGGGTCTCCAGCAACATTACGTTAAATTGAAGGAGAACGAGAAGAACAAGAAGTTGTTTGAACTACTTGACGTTTTTAAGTTTAATCAGGTTTGTTTGCAAATTGGGGACAATCTACAGTGGATGTGCACATTTTCCTTATGGCGGAGAATCTTTACATGATGATACAAATTTTCTTACCTCCTTGTAATGACTATCACATCTTATCATTACTCACCAATTCTGATGAAGATTCTTCCAAGTATTTACTTAACAAAATTTATTAATGGTTTACACATTTAATTCATTTAATAAAATTTTTAGTATTTGACGAAAATATTAAGAAAGAAAAGTTGAGTCGGAAATGTTTCTTCTCGAGATACACCAATGGTATTAGGTGCATCCAGGAGCACAACTGGTCAGCAGTGCCCCTGGATGCATCCATTGTCAATACGATTTATCTTATAATTGCTCTGCATAGGTTGTCATATATGTGAGGTCTGTACAAAAATGTATGGCTTTAGCGCAACTTTTGACGGAACAGAATTTTCCTGCGATCGAGATTCATTGTGGCATGACGCAGGAGGAGCGACTGTCCAGATATCAACAGTTCATCAAAGATTCCCAGAAAGTAAGTAGTTTATGCCTCGAGTTCCATGAAGTTTAATTTATATTATATATGTAGATATATATAATATAAATCGGATTAAATAATAGATTATGTGAGATGTGATTGAAAGATGAATGACCTTTTCAGCGTATCTTAGTGGCGACAAACTTGATGGAGGTCTGTGACGAGCTATATATAGAACGTTTCAAAATTGTATTCAACTATGATATGCCAGAAGATTCCGGCACATACCTGCATAGAGTGGTACGCGCTGGTCGTTTTGGTAACAAGGTAATAAATAATTTATTAAGTATTCGAACATGATGTATGTGTAAACAAAAACATTTTGGAATCTCTAAAAGATTCCTTAATGTAAATTGTTATATATTTTGCTGATAAAATTGGAATAAAAGCGAAGCATTTAATATTGACTTTATTGGCAATTAATTTGAGCTGCAGAGTTATTTTGAATTTTAGAACTTTTAGCATAATCGCTAATTACTCATCTGGGATTGTTCTACAGGGTCTTGCTATTACATTGGTGAGCGATGAAAGTGACGCCAAAATATTAAATAATGTTCAAGAAAGGTTTGACGTAAATATTACAGAATTGTCGGACGAAATCGATCTCACTTCATACAGTAAGTTCAAGTTTTCGGAAACTCAATTTATACTTGTTATCCGACGATGCTGTATTAAAAGTATATTTTAATCCGATATTTTTACTTTTAGTTGAGGGACGATGAATTAAAATGCATTAAGTTACAATATTTTTTAAGGCACATAATTTAAGTGAGTACGTTTGATCAGTTAGATTAAATATGAAGTAATCTTTAGAACTCTATTTAAATAATTCATTCTTTTTTTTTTTGCAGTAACGTCTTATTCCACCTATTCATAACACAAGGATGGGCACCAAATAATAATTACGATATATAAAAGAAATGTAATTGCATTCACTGCAAAAAGTCGTGTTTTGTATAAGTTTATCCGCTCTTCTTAATGATATCGAATACTATATATGATTGATTGACGTAATCGTACCATAATAATAATACTAATCTAATCATAGCTATTCTGACAGCCATGCATACAATAAAAGCTAATGTATATTACATGTTTTATTCCATTTCTTAGAAACTAAGTGCTCTTGTATAGTAGATATATTTCGAAGAGAAAGAGAGTCGTTATATGATCCTGTAATAACGTGAACAACCGAAATAAAAATTTCCTGTTATAAACGCAAATTTATTTCTTATAACAGATAGTAACTTTCCTGATAGTTTAAAGGTAACAATTGAAGATAAGTTAATTTTTCCAACTTCAGTATAAAGTGACTAACCAAAGCAAAATATACATATTTCGTCGTTTACAAAAATATTCACATATACTAGAATGTTATTTTTTCCTAAATTAATCATGTTGCATATCATGCATCATTAGTTTTGTTTTAACAGCTCTGTAATTCTTACAACAAAAAGACATCTTTTATATAACTAATGCAATTTGCAAAACGGGGTTCAACGAGAAAGACTTTTTGTAGACTTTTTAGAAAACAAATATAGATCCTTAATTTAAAAAATATAGTATAGAACATATAGTTTACGGTAATGTAAGAAATGTACGTAGAATTAAGTCATACATGACATAAACACAATGTGCTTTTTTAGTATCATATAAATCGAGATATTAATTTTATATGTACATATAAAATTATATGAAACAATAAGGAATTAGATAGTGACGAATCTTCACTAAGGAAGATTAATATTTTTGAGGTATTTGCTAGGTGGATGCAACTGAAATTGAATAAAAATACTATTTAGATTCATTTAGGTCTCGGTTTATTTTGTGATTTATTGCCGACTTGTGTGCCACCAGTTCCATGACCCAACGGTGCTGGACCTCTTCCTCCTCTGCCGAAGGTACCTGCAAGGTATAACGATCAACAAACTACTTTAAAAAGATCAGATTCTAATTGATCAGTAGCTTCTAAAAGATATGAATATATAATATTTTTCATAATATTCCTCCATAATCCCTTCATTTTCAGCTACTTCTAGTTCATATAAACTATGAATGTAACACAAATTGATTTCAGCAATTTGTATGGCAAACAGTAATTGATTTTAATAAATTAGATATGGCAGACTGCTTAACGAAAATTTTACTTCAGACTCGATTACTTAATAGACTTAATCTCGAAAGTTTGTAATATGTTAACATATAAATAGAGGTTTCAAATTAAACTGTCGCTGAAGAAATTCATAGCGAGATTGTGTTCACTGAGAAAAGTCAACGATTAAATTGCGTTGACAATTTACGATTAACCGAAAGAAAAATTTTCAAGGCGTAAATAATCGTTGCACGCCTTACGTGACTACAAATTAATTCGTTAAATTTTTACACCAGTTAAATGTATCTTCCTGACATAATTGCCAATAAAAATTACTATTTTTGTATAGATGTTAAATAATTAATTAAGCTAAATGACATAATTAAAGTCTCCCTTCGCAATAATTTAATTATATAAACATGTTTCAAGTACGAATTGCGATTATTATTTTACTTCACGTAAAAATATATCGTGATTTAATATTTAATCAATCGATGGAACTTATGGCAGTATAAAATAAGAAAAAACAATTTTTAAAATCAAGAAACGAGGGAGAATATATACTTAAGTCTAATATTACACTTTCAATATAAAAGTTGGTACATACATACTACATACCGGCGCGTGCGCGCTTCGTACACACCCGACACCGGGAATTGTGTTTTGCCGTCGCGATCGCAGCGTTGTGGCAACCAAACGAATTACAGGTAACAAACAAACAAAAAGTATGGCAGGTGTCAAGCGGTTCGTGAGGAATGACCGGTTGTACACGGTGGTCTGACTTGATTTAATTACGGCCGAGGAAGGGCGAGATGTCTTCGGGCGCCAGGAAATCGCCGCGGATCGAAGATGTGAGTTTCACAGGTTGTTATTTGCTCGCGGACCGCGCGCGCTTAACCTAAACCTAAACTCCTCGTCGAATCCTCGTTCGATCGTTCTATGAGATTTTCAAACGTTTAACTTTAGAAATTCTGATTATTCCTCTTTTTGCTAAATAGAACAAATGAGAAGTTTCACGCGTTTTGAATATGTTTCTTTTAGTTAATCTCCACGGAGGATGATACCTTGGGATCCTCCATAAGTCTAAGCGTCGGGGAGAACTCGGTGCGAATTAAAGAGAAACCTAAAGCTACCAAGAAAGCCGAACAGTTATCGGCCGACAGGAAAGATGTGCCGGATAAGTGGTGGTTGAAGAGGCCTGAAACACGTCTGGGTGTCCTGAGTGCCAAGAGCGCGGATGCGAAGACCAAGCAGTCTCCTACTCCTTCGCCGGATGTCAGCTCTTCTATGAAAGACTTCCTCGAGAAAGAGAGGATGTGCAAGGTGATTGATTGAAACAAGCGATGAAACATTTCCCTCGTTAAGAAGAACAATATTCTTAATTGCTTTTATTGCCTACCGTTTTTGACATGTTGCTTTGAATGACTTTTAGGCAGTATCGAAAAGCGAAGGAGAAGCGAAAGACAAGGATGACACGTTATGCGACATACTCGCATCTGCGGCTTTCGATAAATATCCGTCAGACTTTGAAAGTAAGTTTTCGCGTAGCGCGTAAAGCCGGAGCTTTCCAAATTGATGTTTGTGCTCGATTAATTCGCTTATGTCTTGTGTAGATGCCACTGACGAGGATATCGGCAGTATGCTGGAGGAAATGAGCAAAATCGCTGGGGCATTAAGCCCTAATTCGTGTCCTGAACGTACAAAATCTAGTGGCTCCAGTAAGAATCCCATCGAAGAAGAGAAGTCTGTGGAAGAATTATTAGAAGAGGCTGAGAAGTTAGTCAGGGAAAATTGTAACACCCTATCGAAAAGTATATCGAAATCTGATACTCTAGTGCCAGAGAATCAAGACGAAAGCCTGAACAGAGTAAGGCAACTGGAAGCTGACATTTTTCAATTAATAGAGGAAGAAGTGCATAAAGAAACAGAAAAGATAAAGAGGAGTCCGAAGAACGAGAGGAGACGGGAGAACAGTCCAGGATTTGAAATCGTTTATGAAAATCTCAGTAGTTTGAGACCACCGAAAACGCTGGAATTTCAAAGAAGAAAGTTCGAGGAACAGAAAGTCGAAATATCGAGCAGTTCCGATTTGGACGACCCGATTGAGAGGCATTCCAAGTCCGAGGAACTGAAGAGCACGAAGAAAATTGAAATGGATAAAGAGAATCTGCAGAAGGAGATCACGGACGTGGATAAGGACTTTTTCGAAGATTTGTTGAGAAGATCTAAGGAGAAAGCGGAGGGCGGGATGTCTGGTAGTTCCAGTTTCGGGCAGGAAGATTTTTCGCATTTCTTGAAGTTGCTTCAAGGGCAGAATACAGACAAAACAGAGCTGGAATCAAAAGAGTCTAACGCGATGTATGATCTCTTTTTGAAATCTACTAATGGCGAGGTATTATCGACCAAGGAGAGTCAATTAGCTAGTGGCAAAACCCCAGAATTCCCAGAAAAAGAATTTTCCGAGATATTAGGGAAGGAATTACCGGCCATTAACGGTGCACACAAAGATCATGAAATTAATGACAGCGATTCCAGCATGAGCGAAGGACGACATAAAGAGGCACTGAATTCTCTGTCAGGCGGGACAACATTCTTAAAACATTCTAGTAATGAATCTAAGAAGATTATATCGAAAGTTACAGAGAAAGAAAGCAATAAAAATGTGACAGAAGCTAATAAAAAGGCAGTTAATCCTGAAAGTGAATTGTATACGGTAGGATTGACGCCGAGATTAGAATTATTCGCAGATGCGATACCCAAACTTATGGCTGAAAAGTTAAATGAAAATGTTGCGAAAGAGAACGCGGAGAAAACGGAAAAAGCGGATTCCGCGCTCAAGGAATCTGCTTGTTCGGAAACAAATGTAGACGCAAAAGTGGAAGATTTATATGCCGCTAAAGTACCAAAGATCTCAAAGATGCATCATCAAGAAGCACCTGGCGTTTCGGGTAAAGCAATAGATGTATCTAAAATTGACCGTATTGTTAGTGCACCGAGTAATAACCAATCGAAGAAAGAGATAAGATTCTGCAAGTCCAAGAGCTACGATCAGATATGCCAGCCTCCCTTGAGAACCTCCCTCGAAAATATCAGAATTAATAAAGCTTTAGATGTATCTAAAAAACCTGTAAATCCGGTTCCCAGAAAATCATCGATGGTAAAGTCGAAAGTACAATCCCGACCGATTTCCAAAACCGCGCCGAAACCTAACTCGTCCTTAAGATCAAAACTGGAGTCTGGAATTAAAATTGGCTCCACATCCAGCTTACCAGCTGCGTCCCAGATGAAATCGCCCGACGCTTACAAGAAAAATTTCATGGCCGCCGGAGATTCGAAGCAGATCCCAATAAAACTCGATTGGGAGATGTTATGTCGCGAGGAGAGACACAAGAACATGCTGCTGAAGCAACAGTTGGAGGCCGAGGCGAAGCTGTACAAGAGTCAAATCGAGGACATGCGTACGTCCTTCGAGGGAGAGCTGTTTGCCTTGAAGAAACAAAATATAATCTTGAAGGCGAGAATCGATGAGGTCTCTCTGAACGAACGGCGCGTAGAGATTCCTCCCAAAAACGACACGAAAATCGCTCTTTTAGAACAAGAACTGGAGAAGCAGGAAAGCCTGATCCGTGCTTATGAGACCGAGAACAAGAAGCTAATGCAAGATACGAAACGTATGCAAGAGGAATTGAAGAATTTACAGTCTAAGCAGAAGAGCACGATATCAGAAGCGAACGATACGCAACAGCTCGCCGATCGGGTGAAGGATCTTCAGGAGGAGACGTTGAAGTTGAACCTCGAGGTGTCCGAGCTGAAGGAGAAGAATGCCGATTACTTGTTGAAGAACGACGATCTAATGCAACAGAACAGTTTGCTCGCGGACGAATTGGATATGTTCAAGGAGCAGTTGAGAGCGAAGAATAACTTTATCACGGATCGGCTGCAAGTGATGACCACCACGGAGTTAGAACTTAAGAAACAGATAGAAGATTTGAGTATCAAATTGAGCTCCAAATCGGAGCAATTGCGAATGACTAAACAGGATTTGGACAAGTTTCAGCAGAACGTCCTGCCCTTGGAGAAGGAACTGCTGGAGCTCAGAGCTAGGGAGGGGAATCTCCAGGAGAAATTGCAGATAAGCAAGAGCCACGTCGAGCGCGAAAAGCAGTTGACCCAGAGACTCAAGGATCAAGTTATTCTGGACAACAAGAAGGTCACAGACCTGAACAGACAAGTGCGCGAATTGGAGCGTATACTCAAGAGGAAGAACCCCGACTCAGTGTCGGCACTCATACTGACCGCCAACTCGGAACAAGACAAGATTGGTTCCGAGAAGGTAAAGCTTCTGGAGGAGAGAATAGCGAGTCTCGAAAACGAGATCAAGGCCAAGGAGGATACCGCGCAGCAGAATCTGGTTGACCTGCAGAAGAAATTCTCTGACATGAAGGAGAAGTACACGACGCAGGTGATGGAGCTGGAGGCGAAACTGTTGGAGGCAACTACGAAGGAACACAAGTTGTACAATGACATGTTCACGCAAACGATGAGATATGTCGAGAGCAAGAGTGTGGAGAATAACAAGAAAGATGACAAAGCTTCAGCCGTGGAAGATAAGAAGGAAAAGATGAAGGTTGGGCCGAAGTCTCAAAATCCGAAGGAAGACGCGCATCTCATCGCCACTATAAGAGGCTTGAAGCTGGAGATCGCGAACAAGGATAAAGCGGTCTCAAAAATAACCAAGGAGTATCAGGAGCTTCAAAAGACAAACCGGCGACTGCAGAAGGAGCGGGAGAAATTGCTGAATGATCGTAGGAGCTTCAGAAGCATGGATTTCGATAAGGCGTTCCGAGGACTGAAGAACGGCGAAGGAAATGATCAGAATTCGAATGTCTACCAGAACGGACATGTTTCCGACTCGCAGAGACTGTCGTCGTCGACGCCAAAGTTGTACGATCCGATGCAGTACACGGAGAACGGCAAGAATGGGGTTATCAAGAAGTTGACCAACGAAAACGACATCCTGAAGGAAGAGCTAAACAAAATGAACAAGGACTTCATGGCGCTGAAGAGTAAGAGACTGCACGATTTGAATCTCTTGCAGGAGGAACACGAGCGAGAGATGGCCACTCTTGTGAAAGAATATAGCGTCAAGATCGGAGATTCTAAAGTGGTAAAGTTACAGGTTTGTAACGCTTAGCAAACACCTGGCATATCCCTTATTTTTTCAAATCATACAAGAAAAAACTAGTAGCAACTTTTGAGTAGCACAAACCTCTGCTTCGCTTATATCTCAATATATTTATCTGTTATGGCTAGGAATTTTTATTATTTCATAATTTTTATTTTTAATAGGGTCAGATTAATACTCAGGGAGCAATCATATCGCACTTGAAAGAACAGGTCGAGAAGTTCAGAGATTATAAGGAACAGGTGATCATGTTGAAGGCCGAAAGAGAGCACTTAGAGAATAAAGTGAAAACGCTGACCGAGAAAGTCAAGTACTTATCAACGCCGGTACGTAAAAAATAGTCCATTTTTTAAAGCGGTCCTTGACATGATATTTCCGTTTCAGGGAACGGAACAATTGCAATTGCTGCAGGACAAGATCACAATTCTTCAGCAACGGCACGAGAGTAGAGAGATGACCTTGCAGACGTTAATTCGTGATTTACTGAGGAATCGAACGCAGTGTAGAGACTGTAGTAAGAACGAAAAGGGAAAGAATCGGCAGCTTTGCTACTTCCGACAAGAACTCGATCATATCTTAGGAATGCTACAGGAGATCGCTAACGTCCATTGATTATCGCTGAATCGAGAGATTGTCCCTAAATAGTCACAGCGCATTTGTATGGTTCTCGGTTCGTCATCGAATATTGTGATAATTTTTACAAGACTAAGTATTTGCGATGTAGCTTAAATAATTCGAGAGAGTCATTAGGTATTTTAAGTGTCAAAGTATAGGTGCGTAAACGCGTTCGTTCGCGACCCTGAGCCAAATGTTTAGTCCATACTTCCATCAACTCTTCCAGAATTGATGAGAACTATTATAAAGTACGATCTTCTTTCTTGCGTCCGTGACACCGTTTGTTCTGCGAGGTCATCCATCCGTACAGAGCTTGCAAATGACTCGGTAGGCTCGGATCACTGCCAAAGAGAGAAACGCTTACTGCGTAACTAACAGTAGCGTACATAATAACGAACGAACGAACGTACGATTGAATTACCTTTTTCAATCTCTCTCCGTCGCCAATTTTCTTGCCACGCGCGTGCAATGTCTGTGAACACTGCCCGCTATTAGCATAATCTATTTTATTGAATCAAAAATTAATTTTTAGAATAAGTCGTGCTTTTAGGATTAGATATTTTTTATTTATTTATTTATTTATTGACTCTGAATAAAATGGCACGGCTGCTTGCAACGTTTCTCCAAATCGATGTTGCTGCAGCTTGTTTTCTTCTTATAATTGTATAGCATGACAATTGGACGGAGGAAAAAGAAAATAGATATGTAAAAATATCTTCGTAAGGGTTTCTTCCAAAGTTAAATGATATCTAGTTTTTTACGGATAATTTTTTTGGAAACTTTGCTGTACATATATAAGCGTTATAAGAGATAAACCGCTATATTTATTTCGGATAATACTCTACGTCGGTTTATTCGCGATCAACGAAGTTGACTATATCATGTATATCGTATCGTAAGTATTCTAGTTTATTACTATTGTTGCCAAGCCTAGTTGGTGATCTCGTCAAATGTAGCCTTCTCTGTATGCGTCGTAATAAACGCAAGCACACCGCACAAATCGATGTAGCCGAGACTTGAGGACGAACAATCAGAATGCCTATCTTTCGTATTTTCTTCGCAAAATCTGCAGACTCTTTGAGACAGTTATCTTCCTGAGACTCGGTTACGTTGAAGTACACACAATCACATTCTTTTTCTAAATAGATTTAAGCTTGTCACTTGCAATGTACAAAATCCAAAATTATAACTTTAATAAATTTAATCTTCTCGCTAAAGGATCGATATTTTATCCGACGGCAATATAGCGCAGGTTAAGAAATCGTGTCAATCGATATTTACCAGACACTTGTCGAGTAAAATAAAATCTGAGAAGAATATATATATAAATCGTTTACTTTATAAATAGTAAAAAAAAAAAAAGATAGCGACGAAAGGTTTCGAAAAATTATTTCAACGAATTTAACTACGACTGCAACTATTTATTTTCGCACAAAATATATCTTCTTAGATATACACATTTCTACGGAGCATATATTTTTAGATATTACGCATTACTACGGAGCTGTACATTAATCTACATTCTGAGTATTCTCGGAAACAGTACACATATTGCAACATAATATCTTAATTCATAAAATAATGAGATCGACAGAAGCATAGGTCCAGAGAGAAGTAATTTTCAGTGCCGTTTTTTGATAGCCGGATTTATTTTTCCATTTTACCAAAATACGAAGCGCTGCGCATGCTGCATTATGTTGTTGCTGCAAGAATATTATAACATATGTTGAGAATTCTAATTTATTCATGACATCAAGACAGTGTTACAATTTATTTTATTAGTATTGACAATCTATTTTGAAGATCAAAGTTTTTTATAGCCTGAATCATAACTATTTTATTATTTATAGTGTGCGTTCTAAGAAATTCCAGTAATTTTAATGGCTTACCCGATGGAGGATTTTTTTCCATTATAAAGAGAAAGCCCATAAACGGTACATAATGCCACGACGAAAGCTTGTTTCATAATATCGTAGGCCATAGAATACTTGAAAAATTCGAAGTCCTTCATTGAATTAGGAACGATTTTTGCTCTAGTTTCTACATTCCTTTCAACGCGTGCGTTTTGCAAAATTCGTTCCCATTTTGCGGATAATCGTTCATTGTCTACGGTTCTAGCGAGCGTCCTCTCAGTAGACAGCCTTCGTTGTTTGCGATTTTGTTCAGGTACGTGGACTCGGCGAAGAGAAGAGAGTCTCGATGAGTCCTCGATGTTCCTCGCCGATCTTTGACGCAAGTGTCTGATGGATTCTCTTTCACGAAACTCGGTGGGTCGATTCTCAACTGATCGAGCCACTCGGCGCTCCTTGAGACGCCTGACCTCGCGTTGCGTTTCTGATGAACGTAGAACTTGGTTCTCGAGAGATGCTGTTATAGAATTCGTTCTGCGCTCCATCGGAAGCATTGAGATCGAATTTCGTAATTCGGAGTTCCGTTCCACGCGTCGATCCTGCATCCTGGATTCTTCACGCGACAGCGAACTGTCATGGATCCTTCGTTCCGATGATCTTCGTGAATCGTGGGTAGATCGCCTTTCCAGGATGTTTCCGCGAGAAACTCGCGATTCAAAGTTTCGTTCCAAACGTCGATCTGCTAGCTTGAATCCTTCGCGGGATTTCGAGCTATCGTCGATCCTTCGTTCCGACAATTTTCGCGAATCGAGGGCAGATCGCTTTTCCAGGAGTCTTCCGCGAGAAACTCGAGATTCCGGATTTCTTTCCAAACGTCGATCTGTCAGCCTGGATCCTTCG